CGGGCAACGACTCGGCCAAGCTTCTGGGCATAGACTCGGCCAAGTGGGTCCGCGTCTTTGGCAGATCCAAGGCCCTGCACCTCGTGGAGAACTCTCCTCAGGTTTCTTCAGCCAGCTGGAGAACTAAGTGTGGCTGGCCCTTTGCTCGCAGAGGTCATTTCGCCTTGTACGTGACTCCCCCGGAAAAGGCTACAAAGTGCAGGAAGTGTTGGATACAAGGACGCGGCAAGCCATCTGAGTGAGTGCTGGCGTCCGAATGTCCGATGCTAGCCTTTTGCAGAGGGATCGCGAAGCTGTGACCGCAATGGCCAAAAGTGAGTGTCTGCACTCTCTTCTGTAGGGTGGAGGTGCGGGCATGGTACAGTAAATTCATGTCTCTGGTTCTTTTAGATTTCCTTCTGTTAGCATACCTCTGTGTAAGACAGCTAGCCCACTGAGCCGGTTGCGAAGCCATGGTCCCCACTCGACGGGGTCCGGTGCAGTCAGTTTGACCCAATCATCTATCAATTCGTCATGTCTCCAAACCAAATGTTGCAAGCTGTGTTATTATACTAAGTACAATGTACTTGGTTGGACAAGCTCCGCATTTTCCACAGCCTCTTCCTTGTAGCAGTTGACAATGACTATGCGGGGTTCCATGGTAATTCAACGGCGGTAAAGGACATCTCACATCATATGTCATTTATGGATGCACATTGGGCTTAGGGTCCAGGATCTTTGTTCTTCTTCTAGTTCCTTGCTTTCTGACGTGAGCGACGTGTTCGGTACTTGTGGAGGTTGAGGTTGTTGGAGGCTCGGGATCCTTCGAGTGTAGGGTTTTGGGGTAAGTTTCTTTTAGCGTTATTTCCTGTTTTGTTTTTTTGGGTGCGTTTGTTGACAGGTAAGGTCTTTGAGAAGCGATGTTGGGGTAGAGGTGAGGCCGTTGATGGCGTCGGCTGGGTTGATTGTCTTGGTCGTGTTGGTCATGTCGGTCATGTCGATTTGTTCGCTTGCGTCGGTCCTTTAGCTCGCGTTGGGCAATCCTTCTGATCATGTTGGTTGTGAAGGTGTTGCCATGCTTCGCACACGGATATTGGCATGTTCAAGCCAAACAATGGTTCTTGGTCTGCTTTAGGGAGTTCCCGACTCCACCTTGCGCAAGGCATCTTGCAGCTCACAGAACCCGGACTCCATTTTGAGATTGCGCTGCTCTCTGTCTGATGTGCAGGACGCAGACCGGGTTGAGGAGATGCTTTTGGCCTGTGAGGAGGCCTTGGCGCGCCGACAGGCCGAGGTGCAGCAACAGATGCAGAAAGTGGACAAGGCCAGGGAGACACTTTGAGGTACGATCCTGCTGTGTTCGGACTGTGCTGTCAGGCGCCGATGCGGACATACGCCCGTGTCGAGCTGGTCCAATTAGTTCAGTCTGCCAAGAGTTTCCCATAATAAACACATACCTTCTAGTGCATGATGGCCTTAGTGCCATTTACAAAATTTACACAGTGGGGCAATGTGGCTTGACCTCAACAAGCGCTGTACAGACCGCGCACGGCAAACCAGCCCCTTCTTTGCAACTCGGCCTTGGCACTCATTTCATGTCCGGAAAGCCCGCAGACGAACTGTCGACCAAAGTCGTTTGGCGCTCTCGTTCCCAAAGCAGTGAGGATTCCGTACAGTAGCTGGTGAGCAAGGAATACAACGATTGGAGCAGTTGCGCTGCAGCGCTACGTGCGGGCAGTTGGGATGGTGCTTTCCATTCCAAGCCGCTCTTGAAAGCAAGGGCTATTGTAAGTATCAGTTCCCCGGATTCGGCCACCGCTTGTGTTTTTGTCCCTTGTGCAGACTCTGCGTAGCTGAATGCAGCTGCGAAAGAGTTGAGACTTTGCAGAGGCCCGGCAAGAAGTATATCCACTTTCTGACCACTCCATCCATGCTCCGGAGTGTTGGCCATGAATCCTGAAATTTGTCAGACTGCTTCTGGTCAGCCTTCTGCGGCAATCATAGTTGCGAGAGAGCTACGCAGACTCGCACTGATGTTGATTGCACGCTGAGGGACAGCTGGCCATTTCACATTTCTTCGGGACAGTCAGACAAGAACCCTGGACTTGAAGAGTTTACATAATGGTCAGTGGTGTTGAAGTTCTTCTGTCTGTCATCTCACGCATCTATCACAGACCCGCTACACATTCTACTGTTGATAACGATTTAGCTCATCGTTTCCTGCACAGCCTCATTCGTGTTTCTTGACGGGTAAGTGCTACTGTACTCAGAACATGAGCAACGGTGCCAAGCGCTGAACGCCCATGGCAAGTTGCAACATGATGTTGCGAGAGCCCGCGGGAGTCTCCGATATTCGAGGTTGTTATCCAGCGCCAAATCGAAGGATTGCTCAAATTAGCTTTTTGAAGGCGCCTCGAGTATTAGACTCTTCTGTCGAACTGGCGTAATCTTTCAAGGATGTGCCGTCACGAAAACACATTGACTCGCTTGCGTTGCAAGAGTGGCCGGTGGCTCTGCCGGAAGGTTCAACTGCAACAGCCTTGAGACCTTGATGAACGAGGCAGCACTCTCAAGGGTTGGATTTTGCCCTGGTGTAGTTGATGAGTCTCTTTTGTCGTCCTCTCGCTCTCTTTCTGTCTTTGGCGGTCGGCGTATGGAACAGATGTTGGATGTCTTTGCCACATGCACCAAGTTGCACACACTCGCGCAGAACTTAATCAAGCAACGTCAGGCCCATCTACCTTTTCGGCAGCTGTTGGAGGAAGTCCCAGACCCAGAGGCGCTCGCACTGAATTCTGAAGGATGGTAAGGGTATCCGGAAAATCCTGTTAGATGGTTTTCGCAAGCCTGCCTTGTGCAGAAACAGGTGTATGAGTTCACAGGTGAAGGTTGCCGTGCCAAAGACACCCACGTAAGTATACTATTCTCAAGCCTGCGGTGGGTACTTGATTCTTGAAGTGCAGTTGCAGTCGGGTGGGCCGAAGTGCTTGAAGATGTAGAGCCATGCAGTGCCTGCATGCCAGAGAGTTTGTGGGCTGGGGAGACTCTTGCAACACACTGCCCGATCAAATTGGACTACCACAAACGTGGAGGCAGCCACTGGCACCTTCTTGAACCAACTTGACCTGTGCTGCATTGCATAGCCATGAGAAAGATCTGAAACCTGCAGAACCTCAGCATGATAACGACTTTCAAGCCCCGGTGCCATTTGGAAAAATGCGCTAAGCGTTGGCAAGCTTCCACCAACAGATTGCAGAAGCATCAGCTAAGGGTTAAAGACTTTCTGCCTTGATTTTGCAGAACACTCCGGGCGGTCTCCTGGCTGCCTTCCCGCGGCTCTGGCGGCTGTGCACCTCACAGGCAGTGGGGCTCCGCTCCAGACACTGTGTCATGCCCTTGAGAGTAGATTTACATGCGTATGTGCCTGGCCCTGAAAGCGCTGCAAAAGACACGATCATCTGGTATGCGCGGGAAGTTACAATCCCTCTGCAAAACTGTGGAAAAGCAGGCCGACACCTGCCATGCCTCTCTCCAACAGTCGTGTCAGTCCTTTCACTACAGGATGCGTCATTGTACCACAGCCTTTGGCATGGATTGTGTCAGCCTCGTGTGCATGGTAGGCAGACCGCTCACTGCTGAATGTGCGGACAAAAGAAACCGTCCAATAACAAATATCGTGTTGTGGATGCGTGTTTCGTGTAAATCTGCCGGGTTGTGGGAGGCCTCAACCTGCAGCTGTCTTGTGTGACCAGAATTTGGTTCTGGAAAGTTTCACGGGAAGACATTCTCGGGTTTGCGTCCTTCTTCAAGATCCGTTGGTGTGCAGGCATCTGAATCTTTTCTCAATCCTCGACGATCCCTGTTCAAGGATGATAAACGGGATTGCCGGCTCATGTCTCCTTGTTGCTCTCTCTGTCTCTCTCTGTTTTTCATTTATCTTTTTTTTTTTTTT